GTTTGTATGAGTGGGTTTCCGGTACACGGAATAGGAAAAACTGTGTGGTAAGTTTCAAAAAACTAAACTAAACTAAAAACTATTTCAAAGTGCACACTGGCATTCATCATAGATTTTAAAAATTTTAGTATCTGATGTAGGTGGTATCAGCAACTCAGAAATGAGTGATCCTTCTGAGTATACAAATAAAATTTTAAAAGAAGCAATAAGTAAGTAAGGCGACGCAATAACGGACTTTTTCTTTATCTCAAACAGGTCTAAAGTCACTGACCTTTTAAACGCCACTGTGAAGGTCGACGTGAATGTTGCGAATGCGTTGCTAAAAAGGAACGACAAATGGTTGGCTTTGTAGCATGCCTTGTAAGGGAGAAAGTGCTTGTCCTGCGATGCTATAGGTGTTAAGCCTATGGACATACCAGAAATAAATGTAAGGAAGAGCGATAGGAATGCTGGAGATGTGGCCAAGAAGGAATGCGCGCCCAAGATAAAGTGTTGCATGAACCACAGTGTAAAGGGTTATCTGAGTATGTCGAGAGACTGCCCTAAGTTCAGATACCTGGTCGACGAAGCCAGATGTTGCTCCGGAAGTGGGGCCTAAAGGGACGCGTATCTTCCTCTCGATGTGGAGGATACGAGCATTTTCCAGACCAATGTAGGTAGGACGAGACTATCACACGATTTAGCATTGGCTTGCGCCGCTGAGGGGAGATATGGTTTGCTCGAGAAATGAGAGACTAAATCTGGTCTGCTGCTATATTTCACCGAATCTAGTGGTAGGTGAGTACGAGAATAGCTTAAATGCAATTATGGAAGAGGTCAGGCGACTGAGTAATGAGTACGTGGTGCTCGGCGACTTTAACGCAAAATGTGTGGAATGGGGCTCGCCGATCACTGACACTCGGGGTTAAATATTAATGGAATCGATCAAGGCACTAGATGTAGTGGTTTTAAATAGAGGTTTTTAGCCAACTTTTGTAAGAGGCGAATGTATAAGAAAGAATGTGAATCGGGTGATAGTAGAATATTAAGAGAGGCCCTTGACTTAATCGGCCCTTCCATTCTGCCTGGTGTCACAGAGGAAAGGTTTTTAGTTGGACGCCGACCATCTCGGACTGGTGACGGGACAAAGGTTTGAATCCCTCGGGCCCTGACACAGCTTCTTTAGGATATTAAGAACTCAACCTATTACCTCAACCTATTACCTGTGTGATTCATAGGTGTCTGTATGCAGATTTTTCTTTTTGATCATGTAAAAAAACAGATCTAATGTTTAACAAGTAAACCTTTACTACACTAAGACAGTTTTTGACAAAAATATTATTGGTATGAAACAGTTCGGTGTCACCTTGATACACAAGACCTAGGTACACCGGAGACAAATAAGAGATCCACCAAGTGTTGACGGTCATAGTGTATAAAGCATGTCTACCGAAATCCTGAGGACTTGTGTCCATCATTTTGTGAAGTAGCTGAGACAGAGGGTTCATCCGTAGGAAGAACCACCGTGGACACAATCGTGAGAAGCACAGCGAGTTTCCTTAAAATTAAGATTTGGTATTTAAAAAGGTTACAATCTGATTATTAACTTATTAATAACTTAATTATTAACTTTAAATAAATATATTCTTGATATATTTATAAACCATTGGGGCACTAAATAAAAGATTTTGTTTTAATTCACAGTGACAAAACAAAGATTACTTTTCTTCTTGTGTTGATTAGAGATAATTGAATCATTATTACTAACTTTATTTCTTCTAAGGCAACCCACAGTAAATGAATAGTTTTTGTTTTAATATATTAAGGTATTTCTGTACCGTGTTATTTTCTGGATAACAGTGTGATTGTCTCAAAATGCACATCATTACTTACTGAATTCTTTAATTTTTTTATATTTTTATGTTGCAAACATATTTTCTTATTTTTCCGAGATGTCTTTGGCGAAATTCAATCTTTCTTAGTATTTTTCTTAAGGTGGCGTTTTATTATTAATCCTTCCGGTATTAGAATCATGTCGTGTTTTGATCTCAACGCCCAAAAAATTAGCGGTTATTTCTTAAAACGGTGACGATATTTAATTATATTTTAACAGAAAGGTATAAACTTGTATTAAAACCGGAATATACACATATCTTCATACTTTCCTGACAAAAAATAAAACAGATTCATGTTACTTGAACTTCATTTGGTGCAATACAATAACGTAAGTATGTACAAGCTCCTGGCCTATTTTTGTACGTCATAATAAAATACATTCTTACTATATTAAAAGCCCCATTTTCGCGATTATACCGGAATAATCGGTTATGAAAATATCATGGGAATTATTGCCGGCGGTATTTAGCACGTACGCTTATTCTGTTGATTTTCCAGCTCTTTTCTTTACATTGCCTTACCTCCACTAGTTACTTTATCACACCTCCACTTGGCATTTTCAGTTCATTTAAATAATATTCTCGGAATAATTTCACAATTTTCTCGGCATACAACATTACATCTGCGATAAATTGAAATTTGATAAACGGATTTCAGTTTCATTATAGGTGATGATTTTACAATCTTCATCTATTAATATATATAAATATATACATATTTATATATATATATATATATATATATATATATATATATATATATATATATTTATTTATATATATATATATATATATATATATATATATATATATGTAAATACTTTTTTCTTTTTGGGTGTGGTAGTCAATAAAAAATAGAGCTTTGCTAAGGCGTACTATTTATTCTGAAATCTAAAATATAAAATCTAAATTCTGAAATATAAAAGTTATAAAAACTTACCAGAAAGTAAGATTCATAGCATATAAAACACAACGTTAAATAACATAATGTGATCTGAATTACTGAAGGCATTAAAAATTTTAAAAACTTTAAAATAACTTAAAAATTAAAGAACATGTTACAAAGTTTAAAAAGTAAAAAATAAGACGACATGTTTGACAAAAAACAGTCGTCTTAGCAGGTTTGAATTCAGTCACATCTCACGAACAGAAAGAGGTAGTAGGAGGAACTATTGTTGTTTAAATAGTTCGATGTAACTACAAAAAACAAACTTTCAAACTGATGTCTAACAAAATGCCGTTTGTGATTTTAAGTACTACCAACCATGTTACCAACTTAAAAATGAGAGGGAAATTTAAAAAAAGTTTATTATGTCAAACAATAAAAAGAAAATAGTATTTAGTAAGTAGGTTTAGAAAAAACAAACAACCAAAACAAAATGAACATCTGAATAATAACTGAAGTTAATCATGATAATTATAGCAATTAATAATGGAATTTAAGAAATATGAAACACTCTGAGATGCAAAAAACCCTAGTCAAAAGTCAAAATAAAATTGTAAATTTTGCTAAGATTCTGGATCTCAGATCTTTTATTCAGATTGTTGTTATCACTCCTGCTGATATGTACCATTTCTAAGAATGTTCTCTTAAATTTATTTTTCTCTCTGGCTAATATTTTTACATTGTTGAAATCTATCTTATGGTCTAGATCGATAGTGTGTTCTGCCAAAGCACAAGTGGGTTTATTTAGTCTACAGTCACTCTTATGAGAAATGATACGACTAGATAGATTTCTTCCAGTTTCACCAATGTACGTGGATGGACATTCAGTACATTGAATGCAATAAACAACATCTCTTGACTCTAAAGTAGTTAGGGGTTGTTTTATTCTGCTATATAGCTGACGTATGGTTTTGATGTTCTTGTTAGCTATTTTGATGTTCTTAAATTCTTTGAAAATTTTAGTAAGTTCTACGGTTAGTTTTGGAATATACGGAAGGGAATAAAAATACACACTTGTTTGAGAAGAATTGTTTTGTGCTGAGGGCACTGATTGAGAATTAGTGAGAATGTTATTTCTGTTAACAAATGGAACATTAAAAATTAATTTATTAAAATTCATATCTTAGAGGATATGAATTTTCAACAAAAAGACACTGATTAATAAATATATGACATAACTACTGATCCTTTCAAATATTCAAAGAAGAAGAATAACATGTGACGTTTATAACGTTAGAACTTTCAGGTAGCGTATGATATTGTTGACAGATCTTAATTATATTTAGCTATGATTGAGTTTGGAATACCATTAGGAACAATGAGGAAAGTCAAATGTATGGTGCGGGTACAAGGGGATGTTTTAAAAACATTTAAACCTACAAGAGGACTCATACAATTTGTACAACAATAATATATTCTACTGATAATATCGTGACAATTCAAAGAAGCATAAATAAAGCAACAACCACAAAACTAAATTTTTTTTTATACATAAATTATGCCTTTACGATTAGATCCAGAAAAGGTATCTCTTTATAAATCAGACTAGAAGACTACGTGATTACTTTCCTTTAAAATTTACCAGCATTCTGATATATTCTTATCTTTCGTTATCATCAGTATGACATGGTCTCGTGTATCTTTTCTCACAATTTAGTGCCTGCCTATTTTCTCACCTCATAAATAATCGTTTTTCTCTAGCTGGTTTTTATAATAAGTTATTAAGTTTTAAAGTTGTTCTTAAGATTTCTTTAAGTCATGTTACGTTTTTTTTTTACTCTTATATTAGCTAAAATATATTTATATTGAGAATCTCAATCTTGGAAATATCAGAAATAAAAATAATAAATCAGTATTGTTCAAACTTATTTTATGGTATTTTTATTTGAATATAAAAAAATATGCTGTAATAATTTTAAATATTATTAATTTTAATATTAAATATGAATAAATATACATTATTACTAATATAATTTTCCTGTGATCGTCGCCAACAACAATCAAACAGTGGTATTTACTCGATAATAATTCCAACCAATATTGATTACCTAATTGAATTTATTTACAAGCCACATACAAAATATGCAACGGGAAACCAAAATTCCTAATAAGTGGACAATAAAGATTTTCAGAATGGTATAAAAAGACTGGTTGGCTGAAATTCATCATATTGATAAATCAGTAAGCATACTAGTTTATCATGAATATCGCAATTGCCTTGTTCCTGTGCGTATTGGTAGCCAATGTGTTGGCAGCTCCGTCGCCTATAGAAGAAGTTGAAGAAAATGGTAAGCCAATTTTTGTGATTATTGTTAATATACTTTGTTACTATATATTTATGCATATTATTTACAAGGGTGTATTTATGAGAAGAATCCGTTAGAATGATAGCCATCATATGAAATTATTTTGTCTACTGCTCTTGGGTATATTCATAATTACTATTATTAATATATAATATTTTTTACTTATATTACAAACAATTATATCAAAATTAACCTGTAACTTTGAATAAATATGAATTGTCTAGTTTAATATTCATATTTGAACAATTTGTTAAAATAGTTGTAGGAATAGCATTACCGTTTTAACAAATATTTGCAATTATTTGAAGAAATAATTACGTAATGTGTTTTTATTTCTGATATAGGATATCTTTTAGCTGTTTATTGTTATTGTTTATTGGGTAATCTATGTAGCCCTCAGTTACTACTAATATTTTTCAACCAACTTCCATCTCTCCAAAGTCATAACTTAACGTCCTGCATCAACATATTGAAATGCCCTCCTTTTATTTTACCTTATTTAGATTAAATAAGGTCGGAGATAGCCCCTTTGTTATTGGAAATATTTCAGATATAAAGTTTTCTTATTTAACGACACTTTGTACATTTTTGCACAGTGCATTTTTGTACATATTAGCGATAACATCCACATACTCTATACTGAGACCTACTTTCGTCAATGTAAACAGTTTTTTTAAAGGTACCGTATCGTATGCCTTCTCTAAATATACAAACAGGAGGTGGGTAGATAGCTTTCTTGCCTTTTGTTTTTTGATTACCTACTGCAGAACAAATATACTATCAGTGCACGATCTTCCTGCATGAAATCCATTTTTTTGTTCTATGTTTTCGTATTCTGATTCTTCTTTCTTTTATTATTCGACCGTACAACCTCCTCACTGAGCTGATAACAGTTATTCCTCTATAATTAGGGCATTTGAGTTTATCTTCTTTCTTGAATATTCAGCTGATGTATCGAACATTCCAATCATCAGGGATATTTTGTCCTTTTAAGCATTTGTTAAATAGTTGAACCAACATCTCATGTAATATTTTTGTTCCATACTTTATTAACTCAATTGCGATGTGTCATCGTCAAGCGTCAATGTGCTTTGAGGGCATCGCTTACCTTTTTGGTTATTATCTCTTCCAGTTCGATGTCTTGGAATTTACATTTATCCTCAGTCAGTAGGACCTTGTAATGGTGTTTCCACTGTTTCAGATCTATTAACTGTAAGTTAGATTTTTCCTTTCCTTCCCTCCAGAGAGTCTTTATCACCTTTCTCGCTTGCTGAATCTTCCTGATTAGCTGTAATTATTTTTGGACGTCCTTGATCTTGCTTTGGATGGAATTTCTTTTTGATAACTTAAACTACACATTTTGTACTTTTTAAATTGTCTAGTAAATATTACTAAATAGTCAACTTTTACAACCATAATAAAGACAAAATTTTTAGGACATGTCCGAGTAAAGCGATTCACCTGCGACGTAATTGGATCCATTTCATATGCCAAGTTTAAACTGAATGACGCTGCCTGTGCTGCTCACTGCAGACTCAAGCATAGACCAGGAGGATGGTGTGACCAGAGAAAGGAGTGTCATTGCAGATAAATGTCTAATAAGTCCATAGCATTTTATATTTCCTTATTTATTACTTTTTAGTAGATGTTTCTAATAAAAAATTATAAACGAACTTATTGTTTCATTGTCATTTTTAAATAAAGACCCAAAATAGGTCAACATTTTTTGGTCAAAAATACGGTTTTAAAAATAACCTAGTCTTGACAGGACATAGAATTTTTCTAACATGTTTTACAAATATTTGTATCCATAGTTTTTTATAGTACTTTAATTTATATTTTAAAGTGTTTGTATTAAACACGAGTATTAAAGATAAAATATATACAATAATAATCAAACTAAAGAAACAACAACTGGTTGGAAAAAACGTCAAATACCTGTCAAAGCTAGTATTTGTAAGCTGATTTTGCTAACATTGACTTCTCTGTTTAATAGATTGTATCAGAATCCAAAAAAGAAGGCATTTACCCCAGCGAAAAACCGCAGCTGGTATGCTTCGCCCTTCTTTATTAGACTCAATAACACGCTCATATTTCTCTCTCGCGCAATTTTAATTGCTTCTTTACTACTTCTTTTTTTAAACTTTAAGTTCTGGCACGAGTATTTTATGAACGGTTTATTGCAGACAATACTATATCGTAGCGTTTGTTTATTAAATAATCCTCATTTTGATGTGTATTTTGATTGGTAAACACATCTGTGCAGTCACCTATATTTGCTTACCTGTTTATACCTGCTTGCCCGGTAGCCATGAACGTAATTACGTTACAGACCCATTTTATATGTTTTAAACTTTTAGTTTCAATAAAATTTGATTCCTGATTTAATTTGATATATTTTAATAGTTGCAGGCAATATATGCAAGATGTGTTTGTCTATACGTTTGTCTATAATTCAATCCACGGATCTCTTGTCCCGTGGTATATTTAAACCAAAAACAATTTTTTTTTTGTTTCGGGGCATGACTGATTTATACATCATAGTTTTCGTTTCCATTGTACGGTATTTATTTTGTGATATTAAGTTTTTAAGACATCATAATGCTTTGGTCACCTCATTAAGTAATTTTTAAATTTTTCTTTAATTTTGCGTTGCTCCACAATTTGATTCTCAAGTATTTCGTTTTCATCATGTCATTGTGTTCTATTATTTTGTTGTTAACAACTAGTTGTTTTTTAATTACATTTACGTGCTCGACAACTATGGTCAAACACGAAGTATAATAGCAATCGTAAGTTATGTCAAATTAAAATATTTTGGGTTTTATGGTACAATAATATTTTTCTCAAAAACAGAAGAACTCTGTTTGCCTGGTTGGGATGACTTAGAATATCGCTTAGCTGCGGTTGGAGTTTAAGATGTCCTCTTACTTTACTGTATTGATGACATTCGGTAAGAAAGTGTTTCACTGTTAGTGGGCACTGGCATGTTTGAAAGAAAGGCCGGACATTCATAATATCATCAGGAAGCTGTGTGCTAGTTTGGTGTGTATATTTGTGTGGTTATACAGTTGGGGCTGGATTGCACGTAACGATGTATTTAGGTAGCTGTAGTGGGTTTTAATGAATCTTTTATACCTTTTAATTAAAAAAGAGATTGGAGATTTTAAGGTTTCTCGTTGCCATATGTTTGTTTAATTTTTTTTTCCAAATTTGGCTTGGGCTAGTATTTTTACATATAGCGATCACCATGAAGTTTTCTTACATAATTTAATAGAGTGTCTGCATTTGGCACGAAACGCGAAGTATAATAGCAATCGTAAGTTATGTCAAATTAAAATATTTTGGGTTTTATGGTACAATAATATTTTTCTTAAAAACAGACGAACTCTGTTTGCCTGGTTGGGATGACTTAGAATATCGCTTAGCTGCGGTTGGAGTTTAAGATGTCCTCTTACTTTACTGTATTGATGACATTCGGTAAGAAAGTGTTTCACTGTTAGTGGGCACTGGCATGTTTGAAAGAAAGGCCGGACATTCATAATATCATCAGGAAGCTGTGTGCTAGTTTGGTGTGAATATTTGTGTGGTTATACAGTTGGGGCTGGATTGCACGTAACGATGTATTTAGGTAGCTGTAGTGGGTTTTAATGAATCTTTTATACCTTTTAATTAAAAAAGAGATTGGAGATTTTAAGGTTTCTCGTTGCCATATGTTTGTTTAATTTTTTTTTCCAAATTTGGCTTGGGCTAGTATTTTTACTTATAGCGATCACCATGAAGTTTTCTTACATAATTTAACAGAGTGTCTGCATTTGGCACTTTTTGGCACAAAATTTTAGGAGCAAATTTTTGCTGCCGAGAGTCTTTGCAAGAGGACTTCCAGCATATGGCACGTTTTCGTTTAGCTGAAGCGACTAATTTTTCGATATGTGCCTCAACTGCAATGTGATTGGAGTTTTTGAATTGAGTGATGTCCTTTTCAGTTGCACTAATATAAGTAGACCAATTACATTTTTTTAGCGCCAAAATCTTATATTTGTTGTAAATGTATATGAGTTAGTTATAAAGATTGGAAAATGATTGCTATCGTGCAGATCATCAGATGTAACTCTTGTTAATGTCAGAGGTAAAAGCTTAAAAATATTAAAACAAGTATGAAAACCAGTGTTTAACAGACATAGACCGTAGGTACTAACATTTTCGACAATTTTACCTCTACAATATGTGTGATTGAAACCCTTTACCACATTGAAATCCCCGACAAGTGTGTAAGAGCTAGGTACTTCAAGTATTGGCTTTAGCAGTCCTTTTTTTAAGAGTGTAGTTGAAACGAACGTATAAATTATAGACTATGAGTTTATTTGGACACCAACAAGTTAGCCATAGCTATGGCTTTTAAATTAGAAAAACGTAAAAGGTGTTAGATGAGAAAGAGTGTTAGAAGAAAAAGATGAGAAAATATCGGAAGAAATAAAAAAAGAAGTGGCTTAACTGGCCGTTATGCAATCGGTCCTAATATAGTACCCCTCGAAGTGTTTTAAATGAGGGAGTTTAGAATTGTTTGTATTGGTTTCTTGCAGACATATAATGTCTGGTTTAAATTGTAATGTTAGATGTTGGATTCTCTCCAACCAAAGCAAGAATACGAAAATAAGACAAAATATGAAGTAAAATTATACAGAGAGAACAAACTAAGAATAAATGCAAGAAAATAAAAGGGATTTCTATTCAGCGGAGGTAGGCTGTTGTTTTAACTTTTTTAAGATGCTAGTCGTGCGGTTTTTTAGTAATCTTTCCTTTGTACCTAAATAAATATATAAATATTTAATAAGTCGTTTTAAATACCATACCATTTGAATACCATCCATGTTTTTCGGCAAAAAAAATTTTGAGCTTCTTGTTGTTGGGTGGGACACAAAAAATAGTTTTTATGAAAAGCAATAGGTTGAGTGGGATTGAGTGAAAATTACCTGGATTATCTTTGAAAACCGTTTCTATAGTAAAAATACAATTAGGTTTCATTAAATAATCCGATCAAAGATTAGATTTGGAACTTTTTAAGGCTGGTTTAATAGGACTGTCACTTAAAGTGTCTTATTGATGGTCCTACTGTCAATATGGGCTTTAAATTAGTATAAGAAGGGGTGGATAAGTTGATTATGGTAGCTGGGATGGGTGTGACGTTAACGGGGATGGACTCCATTTTTGAAAATGGAAGTGCTTTTGATGAAGTTAAAAACTCAGCTGAAAATGAAGAAGAAGGAGAAGCATTGGCTGCAATAGATGTATGGTCTGGTACAGGCGCAAGACTTCGCAGTATACCCCGTAAGATTACAAAGACAAAACTCTAGTCTGTCAGTGGAATAAAATATTCTAAAACATGAATTTTCATGCTTAATTAGCAAGGAAGATTGCCCGTCAAAGTTCTTCTTGTCAGGGATTGCAAATGTTACTCTACCTTAGGATATGTGTATATTGATCGTCTCATGTTTCGCATTTTACAAAATAACAGGTGCTATTAGCTGTAAGCTAATATCTTTTAGGGACTGTTCGATTAGTGGATGCGGGATAAAGGACACATTTGAAATAAGGATTCTTTTGGCAGGAGAAATAAGCTTTTTAATAGGTATGACGGTAGAATTAATTCTGACATGCGATGTATTTTTAATAGTTGATCAACGATGTCGGTAGATGTGAGAAAAATGCAGATTCGATTATTCGAAATAGGTATGGATTTTTTTTTGTTATTATTATATTGCATGTTTACAATCTATTTTATATACAGGGAAATAAGTAAATATATATATATATATATATATATATATATATATATATATGTATATGTATATGTATAGATATAAACTCCATTTTTTTATTTGGACTTAATACTTCTGCTAAGCTTACCATATTCAAATTTTATTTGTGGCAACTGGTGTACGAAGTATTATTGGTGTCTTATATAGTCTTATAAAGAAAACGTAGTATATCCTTTGGAGAAAGAGGTAAAGCGTTGTAACTCCTTCAGCTGTAGGATTTGTTTATTGGTAGCGCTATTTTGCGTGCCGTAAACAGCATTATCTCCACACAAGTGTTAGTTATTTTGATTGACAGTATAATTGATAGTAACAAAAAATAAAAGCAAAAATGAAGTTTAACGACTCGAAAATTTTTCGAGACGATTTCGAGATATTTAAGAAACATGTGCAGTTGTGGAAAAAGTGAAATCTGAAAACTTTTAATGTAGACGGTAATTAGAAGTAAACGATGAATAACAATATATTTAACTTAACAAAAACTTGAATAAAAATAAATAGGCAACTGATAACCAAATTAAAAAGAAAAGGCGTTATAATAAACCAGACACTTGAAAAGTAACAAAAAAAGTAGAGGCAACATAAGCAGGATAGGAACACATTAATAAATCAGGTAAAAGTATAAAAGCTAAAGCAATGCTGTATTTGTCAACTAAAATATTCAAACAAAAATAGCAGAAGCTTAAATGCAGCAAACTTTTGAGAACTATTGATGTAACACAAAAAATTTGGAATTACAGCTTTAATCAATTTGTGCGGTCGCATATCACCCTAAAACGTGTAATAAGTACGTCGTAGATCTAAAAACCATTCTAAAAAGCCTAGAGATGTCAGCATTTCTTATAATTTTGACTTAA